CCCAGGGTCAGTGGTCACTCCCAGGTCCCTCACTGGTCACTCCCAGGGTCATTGGTCACTCCCAGGTCATTGGTCACTCTCAGGTCCCTCATTGGTCACTCCCAGGTCCCTCATTGGTCACTCCCAGGTCACTGGTCACTCCCAGGACATTGAGCCCTTCCCGAGCCGCCGTTGCCGCTCCCGCTGTCCCGGTGCTGCCCCCTGGCGGCGCGTGGGGAGAGCGGCTCGGCGGCCCCGCCCCCGGCCCCGCCCCCCGCTCGACCCCGCCCCGCCCGCGCCATCGGCGGCTTCTTTCACAAATTGGGACAAGAGACTCGAAGGACCCCCGACCCCGCTCAGACAGCCCCCCGACCCCGCTCCCCGAGCTCCAGTAAAGGGAGGCAGCAGCTTTCCGTTGTGTTTTGGTTTCTGCTCAGGCCCGGCAAAAAGCAATAAATCCACCCGTGGCCCCTGCCGGGACCGCTGCCTGCCCCCCCTTCCCACTGATCCCCTCGGGACCTCGCTAACGCTTTAACCGATGTACCCCCATCCCGAAGCACCCCCATCCCGCTGTACACCCCAATCCAATGAACCCCCATCCCGATGAACCCCCACTCCGATGAACCCCCACGCCAATGTACCGCCCCACCCCACCCCATGCCGTGTCACAGCCCCCGCCCCAGCCGGGCCCCAGCCTGTGCCCCCACAGCTCAGCTTTACAGCGATTCCTCTGAACAGACTCCAGGCAGATGCCGAGTATCTCCGTGAATGTAAAGTGATTTTTTTTTATTATTTTTTTTAAAAATGCCGCTGTTTTATTTTTTATACAAACTAAAACACCAGAGGTCATTGAATCCTATATTAAATACATAAATTAAAAAATAACCATTCATAAAACTTTACATACAATAAGGATTCTCTCCTACACGTTAATACATATAGTACAGATACATGTCCAGTGTTTATCAAAGGGTCATTCTGCCAAGTCATTTACAATTTTGTTCTGGAATAGACACCAAAAAAATTGGGAACAAAAAGTATATATAAAACCACAGAGGTGCTGATGTGAGGGAGGGCAGGGGAAGAGAAAACCCTTTGGATCACCAGCAGCTGTGTGTCTGTTGTCTGAGCCTTGCCCCAGTCAGGAGAGCCTGGCCTGGGCAGTCCTCTTGGGATGCCACGGAACGGAAAGCAGTGGGGTTCAGAGGATGTTTCCCACTGAGATGAGGGCAGGGGGTTGGACGATGAAGAACACCTACAAAAAAGTCTCCATGACCCCCCAGGCACATCAGTAAGAGAGGATGGAGCTGTGAGCCAGGCTGACAACACTGCAAGAAGAGCCATTTCCTTCTGCAACCCCAACTGCCTAAATTCATCTCGCCAAACCAGGCCCTCATCTGAAGAGCTTAAATTGAAACTGTCTTCAAAATCTCCCAACTTGGTCAGTGGAGAAAAAGCAGCAAGTCGAACTGTGGTCAAGCTGATGTGCACTACCTTCTGTGGCTCACCTGCCTCAGCGGGACAGAGAGCCTGGAGTGCTGGTACTCCTGAACAGGGATGGATGGGAGGGATCCAGGGATGTATTTGCTGTCCTCAAAGGCTGCAGTAAATTGATTTTTATTTTGCTGGTTGGTTTTGGGGAGGGGAGGTTGGCTGCAGTGACTAATCTGAGGGGGGATTCTCAATCCTTTGCTTCGATGAACATCAGGAACAGCAGAAAGCCCAGGATTAACAGTCCCAGGACAGAGAAGGGTCCAGAAAAAGGATCAAAAAACTAGTTGCCCATGAGATGTGAAACTAAAACTGGAGGAGTGTACCAGTTGGGGCAGCTAAACAAGTCTAGATTCAGTTCCCCATACCTAGATTGAAGTATACTTTCATCAGCTATAGCAACAATTTCTATATACAACAGGGAATAGATAGGTATATGCATATATATGTATATATATGTACATATACACTATATATAGATACATGTATATATATATACACAAACATCAAACTCATTTAGATCTAGCTGATAGCAGGACGTTTGTATTAACTCATATCAGCAAAGTGTGTTTTAGGCATGGCATGTGTTACGCTGCAAGGGGAGTAAAGCAGCGGTGGTTCAGCTCCATGGAGGGAACAGCAATCTTTGAAAGGTTTGCAGACCCAGGTCTGCTGTGGCCAGACCACCACCCCACCCTGAGCCCTTGGGAACGGAGCACCTGCAGGCACATGTATACACACAGGAGTAAGGGAGGGCAAATTAGGTAAAAAAGAGAAATTAAATAAGACAACATGGCTCAGAGAGTCTAAATGATGAAGCCTGCCACAAGATCAGTCAGTTTTTTTCTATCTGTGCCATAAACCTTCCCTATGATTGCCTGAAATAAATGTTTCTAGTCCCTTTTTTTTCTTTAGCCAAACCAGTGGCAGAAGTTATTGCACTGCCATTGAAACCAGGTGCTGCTCATTCTTCTGCAAGAAGAGCTCAGTGCTTTAACTGCCAGCCCTAATGCTGAAGAAAGTGGCCTAATGGTGTGAAATTAAGTGGTGCTGCAAGAGGGGAGAAAAGAGTGAGGGGGGAAGAACGAATAGCCAGTGGGACACCCCCCCTTTTTTGTAGCTATCAAGCTGTTGTAAAGCTGCTAGTGATCTCCAGCTGTCACAGGAGAGGGACAAGACTTCCCCCCACTCCAGAACTTCAGGACTGAACTGCTGGCTCGTGGAAAGCACGTGTACATTTGGGTCAACCTGATCCACAGAGTCTTCTGCTGAGGAAAAAGAATTTGAACAAAGAGCATGCAACGTACCTGCAGTCGTGTAACATATATGCCCACAAGCCTGTCTTTTAAAACAATGAACCAACAAACATACAGCAGAACTCAGTGCAGAACTCAGTGAACCCCTCGGCTGAACCAGAGTGCTTCAAGAAGATGTGGTCATTTTATAATTTAAATCAATTTTAAGGAGCAGGGAAAAAAATCACTTGCTAATAGTTTCTAACCTTTGATGGAAGGCTTATCATGATATCCTGGCATTCAAGAAATGAGGATTTAAGGAGTCTGTGGAGAAACTGAGCCCAGCATTGCTATGCAGTTGGGTGAATGGACATTACTGATTAAAAGCTATTCTGGCCAAAAAAAAAAAGATATCTGTGAGGGGCTGGCACCCTTGATACTAGAGAACTTCCTCCCTGATAAGGCCACAGAACTGCTTTTGACCTGTTGCTGTGGCAAGTGACTTCACTGCTTTGTGCCTCAGAAGCTTCATATGTAAAAGTAAACAGGCAAACGAAGAAGAAGCTCTTTGAAAAGCACTTTTTGATGAGCCGTCTGTGTGCGTAAGATTGGTACATGTGAGCCCTGTTTTGAAGGTGTAGGTAATGCAGAGGCTGTATTCTGGCCCTTAATTTTCTAGTTTGTAGTACAGACATCCATTTCTCCCAGTCAAAATTAAGGCTCCATCGTGGAAGACACAGCCTTGCCACAGGAACCTGAAGTCTGCCCAGGCACGACTCCATTCTCAGGAAAATAAAAGCCGAGGCACAGAGAAGTGCACTGTCAGCCCACCAGTGAGGGAAGGGAGGGTGGGTGCAGCTGGCTCTGCTGCTCCCCGCGGCACGGGACCCTCGCAGTGTTTGCTGCAGGGTGATGCTTCTCAGGGTCGGTTTTACAGAGTACTGGGGGCGTGGACCTGTGACCCTCAGGGAGGCACCAGGGCCGGGTTCCAGGCTTTGTGATCAGAGAGGTAAGTAATGCTTTGAAATGCAAACTGCTTTTACTTACTCTTAACAGTGGAAAAATCTAAACAGACTAGCAATACCTCTTACTTGTAATGAGGCTGTGTTCACACAGCTTTTCCCCATTTTTGGTTTATGTGTCATTGATCAGGAAGCCAGCTAACAAAGTCAGTAGACAAGCTGAACCAAAACATTTGTTCCAAGCCAGGACAAAACAGTTGGAAGCTGATGCTTTGTGGATCATGTCAAATGGGCTTCCCCCGCCCCCCCATCCTCCAACATTTGTTTTCTTTCTCAGAAGCTACTCTGTAGGTCCAATCCAGTGATCCTCAGTGGTTATTCAACAGTAAAACCAAGTATAGTCATTATTATCTCAATGGCAGTCTTTAAAGAGTATGAAAAGTATCTGATAATAGACAGGCTGTTCTTCATGGAGGGACAGTGAAGAGAGATAAGGCTTCAACTCTGTCGGAAACCCTCCTTACACCAGACACCCTCCTCTCCCCTTCCTTGGCCAAGGCGGGTGCTGCTGTGTTACGATCTCAAGCACAAAACGTGGTGACCTGTCCTGCCCATCCTGCAATAACTCAGACCGGTTTATTTTCCTTTCTTCCTCCCACATTGCAGCTGTCATTTGTTCCTGAGGTTAAAACCAAAGAGGGAGAGCAGGAGTCCCCACAGCGAGAAAGCCGCACAGTTCAAGCCGAGCGCTTGGTTGTCAGCATCTCCCCACGGCTCGAGTTTCTCCTGCTCTGTCCTGTTCACTTTTGATCCATTTGTGGGATGACAGGGTGACATTTAAATGATTGCCCTGCACAGCAGGGATAGATTTTTCTGTTGTAACTTTGGTTCCATGCCCAAGACACACTGACTTGATCAGCTGAAAGTGGTTCCTTCCCTTTAAGTTCTTCCTAGGTGATGTAGGTTCACAGTTTATTCTTCTTCCCCTTTCGTAATTTCAACATATAGAATTTCATTAGATGCAGCATATATCATAGCTTTAGACAGGAACTGTCAGGTAACAAATTTTGAGTGATGGCTTTAAAATACAAGGTGGTTGCAGTCTTGGCTACAGGTTGTTCATTTTTATACTTTTTAAAATAGGTGTAAACAATATTCTCTTCATCGGGGGATGGAAGCATTTGCCTTTATAAGGACTTATCTGGGTGGTCGGGCACTCTAAAAATAAAAAAAAAAAAAAAAAAGAAAATCTGTATCAGGTAAGTGGTAAGTTCCTCTACCTACCTATCCCAGCTGCCAAGATGCAATCTATCAATCAGGAAGCTGAAAAGGTCTGATCTTACAGCTACCAGTGTTAAACTGGTTTTGTTTGTCTGTATGAAAAGCATTTGTGAAAATTCCAGGTATTTTGCTAAGCCTGTCCATTCAAACCCCTCAAAGCACAGCCTTCTGGTCCAGAAAAGTCACCACAGGCATCTTCAGATGAATAGTTACGCACAAGTTTTAATGACTCTTGAACCAAAGCTGCCCAAAATTCACCCCTGACAGGAAACATGGCAGCAAGCAATACCCTTGTGGTGTCAGGGCAAACCCAGAATTTTGGCTAATGCAGCACTGAGGCAAACACAGAATGCTGTTGTCCCGAGGAAGCCTTCCCTACGGCTTTCCCTATGGAAAAGAACTTTAGTCCTCAGGTTTGCACCTAGGGAAAAAAGGGCACCATTTTTTCTTTGTTCTCTCAGCATTCAAGCCTACATAGTAAACTTCACTGGGTGCAAAATCCACACAGACCACACTTCCTTATGTGATCACAAATAAATGAATGTATAAGTTCACAAACACAGAGAGAATGCAGGTAGGAAAATCCCACATAAACAGGAATTAGAGAGCTTCTGGTCTGCATACAATATACTGCTGCACATGGTTTCCTCCATGCTTGTCCCTTGTTATCTCAGTTCAGCAGTGAGTGCTGTGTTCACTCTGGGCAAGAAAGAAACCAGAAAGTATAATCTGTGACTGCACTGTGGTTTTCTCTTACTTGGTTAAAAGGTTCATAAAGAATAAACTGCACCAGGGCATGAACAAAACCAAAGAACTTTCACCACCAAGTGGCTCCCTGGGTGCATTTCAAGGAGGAGTTCAGCTTTTTGTTTGTTCGTTTGTTTGAAGTCCCTTAGGATAAGGGTAACACAGTTCACTTGCATCCAGTGGAAATAAAGAAATATACCTCAGTAGTTGTAATAAGAAGAAATGCTGATGGCACACTCCCCATGCCATTCTCACCTTTGCTGAGTTAGTCACCTGGGTAGGCAGGTGGTTTTTAACGCGAGTGGGAAACACAAATCAATGTTAGTTATTCTCTCTGATTTCATGTATTCCAGCCTCAGAAAATATGATGTTAAAATCGCTCTCAATCTTGCCAACTCCATTCCCAAATTGCTTCTGTCTGGAGATTTTCCCTCAGGTAGTGAGGGGAAAGAATCCCATGGAGGAAAGCAGAGGGGTGAAGGCAGGGGACAAGGAGCTTACCATTGCCTTGTTTTTGAGGAACTGCTACAAGACTTGATGCTTTGCACCTGTGGAGTGCCTGGCCTTGGTAAAACACTCTACAGGTATCATGCGTGCTGTGATGCTGGGCCTGCTGCAGCTCTTACAGTTCAAGGGAGTTCACAGCAGTGCAGATCCTCTGGAAAAGCATTGAGTTTATGTATCCCACACACACACCTCACCCATAAGATTTTTCCACTTTCACTGCCAGTGTCCCGCTCTCTAAGTCACTGTATCTCCACCGCTGCCACGGCTCCTTCCCCGGTCACTCAGCTCACCCTAACCCGTCTTCTTGATTCCTACCTGGCATTCAGAAAGCCAAATATGCAAAAGAATCCTTCATCTCCTGAGTGGTCCTAGGAGTAGCACAACCCAACAGCAGGCTCTCTGGGGCTGTAAAACACATTTCAGCTCTCACTGATGCTTCTTGTGCTCTCTGTGGGGAACTGGACCCCCGCGTGCCCCCGGGACCAGCCACTACGGAGCAACAGTGAATTCCAGGAGCAAAACTCATCTTGGCACTGTAGTCAGAGCAGCCTTTCTGGGCTCATCAAAGTGACACCAAAGGATTTACACCTGCTAAACCTTAGATGCTATGTAAAACAAGTGGATAACCCACTGAAGGAGACTGGGCTGGGCTCGGGGGCAGGGTGTGCTGCAGGGAGGGAAGGGAAGTCTTGACACATCCCTAAGGGATCCACGTAAACCCCCTGCAATGACAGCAGTCAGTCCTGCAGCTGGGACAGTCCTGTCAGCCCTAAAGACAGCAGAGAAAGGCTTATGTTGCCTTCCACTATTAGCCCTGCTCAAGGAACATGCCAGTGAGGTGGATCAGCTCAGCAGAGAGCGAGAGCTGGACGGGACCCAGCAGCCCCTGCAGGCAGAATGACTGCAAGCGAATAACAGCAAATCTGCTAGAATTTTAGGAGAAATCTGGAGTTCTGACCTTAAACACCTCATCAGCTTTTCTAACCAGCCAATACCTCCCCTCAAATTAGGTCAAAAGAACATAAGTGTTAGCAAATGTGGAGGTGGTGGTCTATTTTAGATGGTCTTGATTCTTCTCCTTTTCTATTGTTGGTCCCCCCCTTCCTGCTTTGAGAAGAGGGAAGGAATGGCTGCTCTGCAAAGAAGAATGCAGTCTGCCTTCGAGTACATTGCAGAGCTCATTGTGAGGCTGCTCAAATACATTTTTTCTTTGCATGCAGACACTGAAATGTTACAAGGCACTAGAGATATTTTCATAGGCTCCAAGACAAAAGATTAATCAGCATTACTGGAATTCCAATGTCAGAATAATAGGGGATTTTCTTTTCTGTTTTGAGAAGTGCTTATTTCAAAAGATACTGCTATATAATTGCAATTCCTGAAAAGCCAATTTTCTTGTCTGGAAGGTCTGTAATTCTCAGCACGCCTTCCTTTCTCCTCTGTGCTGGCACACCAAACCATGCAGACAGTCCCAGGAAGCACACAATGGCATTTTTTCCCAGGACTAGGGATTTCATATTCTAAATTCAATTACAGTTGAATTAAATTTTTCATGTGAATCATATTCTTCTTTTCAAATGAAAAATATTCTAATGAAAAGATTTTTATGCATTTTTGTGAATATTTTTGTCACTTGTATCTACCACTGATGGTTTTTTTAAGCTTCAGGAAAAAAAGTTATTTTCAAAACTAGTAACCATTTAAAAATCAGGAAGACAACATTTCCTGATGAGTTCTAATACTAATGAAAATTTTAATTTGTATTTCTCAGGATGCCTGCTCGACTGCAATGACTTCACTGCATGCTTCATCTTAAAAGAGACAGGATTAGGAAAAGCTGTTCAGTAGTTGAATGTCATGAATGCATTTTTAATCAAAGTGACCTAAACTGAGCAATGTTGTCTTTTGAGGTACTCCCTGGTTTCTTATTTTTGAAGTACTCTTACTCCACCACAGCCAATACCAGCATTGGTAAAACTAGGATGGATAAGCTTCTTACCAATTCTGTAGCTGTACCAGAAGAGGCAAATACTCACTAGAGAACCAATTCCATACCCATACAGGTGGAAAATGTAGGTGCAAAATGTATATACAGCAAACTCTGAACCTCTTATTACCCAAGTTTTTCTTGTATGCTGCACAAGGACATTATTGTAGCTGTGACAGGAACTGAAAAAGGCAAATGGAAAAAAACTCATGCAGACAGGTTCTTGCAAATGTCACTGTCAGCTCCTGTGACTTTTCAAGGTGCACCTTAAATCCAAGAATTTTTTTTTATTTGGAATCTTCCCCTAGGTTGACTGCTTGTTCTGGACTCCTGATCCTGTGGCACAGCAGAAGACACAGTCATGTAAAACTATTTGCTGCTACTGTGGCTTCTTAAAATTCCCCTGTCTGTAATTTGGCTGTTTCTGATTTTTTTTCCCCCACTGTAAATAAGTGAGAAATTGTAAAGTCACATTTCCAGCAGTCACAGCCACTCAAAACATCTCACAGCTGCTGTGCTGTGTCACGGTTCCCAGAAACCCTGCAGCAGGAACATTACTAAGTATGCAGTCAGAACTTAATCTGTTTAATGATCACTGGATCGAGGCAGCATGTTTTAAATAGCAGCAGCTCAATAATGATATTGGCTGTTGTTTACAGGAGCTGTGATCACTGATCTGTCCATTCCTCTGATTCTTTTCTACAGCTTGTTCTCCATCCAGCCCAACCTACACATATATTGGTGCCTCAGCCCGTGGAAACGTTCATTTTGAGGTCTGGCTGGACAAGGAGGCAGCAGATTCCATTTGATGTGCATAATTGAGAGTTGTGTCTGCATCTGCACAGAACTGAAATCCTTGATCTAGCTGGAATGAAGCACAAAGTAGGGCCTTTTCCTTAAAGGGAAAAGGAAAACCCACCGACCTGGACCCATGGCACTTAATTGTAATCAATACCTTGAATTGCACCTGGAAACAAAGGCTGAGCTGGTACAAATGGTAGAAGGACATGGAAGAAAATCATTCACACAACTGTATTCTTGGCTTGCCTTAAGTGCAGAGCAGAGGAATTTATTCACTCGCATAGCTGAAGCCAGAGCCAAGAGATACAGTGAGAAATTCAATGGTATGGGTCTGCCCCCAAATCAGAAAATTCTGCTCCACCCTTACATGTTCTTGAGACTTTAACATAATGTTTTCTAGGCTATGTTCTATTTCTGTTATCCTGGATCAAAGAAAGATTGTTCTGTCCCAGCACCCTGGTTCTGGAAGTGGCTAGCCACAGATGGAAAAATGGGACCACTACAGTTCTCTGATTTATTTCCCCATCTTCACATTGCTCTTTGAACTCTGAACTTCCAGCTGCAAAACATGCTGTGACAAAGACTTCTTTACAACCCTGTATCCTTAACTGTCAATTTTCATTTCCTTTAAGCTTATCACAGGATAATTGCTTGTACTTGAGGAGACAGTGAATGATAGCAAGCTATCCATCCATCCATCCATCCTGTGACAAATTTTCTAAACCTCTCCAATACCTCCTTTTAACACTGTGACTTCCTGAGCCAGAAAAATCCTTCCATCTCTCTGTCTCCCCCTTCCTGTCTCTCAGCAGCTCATCATTCCTCCTTGCCCTCCTTTGCATCCTTCCTACTGCTGGACACGGAGCTCTACCTGTTACAACCTCCTGACCTATGTCCTGAGTGTCACTTCAGAGCCCATCACAGTGTGTATATGGTTGAGATTATTACAACTGTTTTCCATCTGCACCCCTTTGCAAACATCAACAATGAATTTCACCTGCAGTTCTCTTGGCTGTGTGATATTGTGAAATTCTTGTTAGCTTTTATTTTTACAGTTCTGAGTAGCACAGTATCACCAGTAACTCGGCAGCAGGACAACCCCCTGTTGTGAACTATTACAAATTGACAACCTGCTGAATTTGCTGGCTCCAAACATCCATCAGAACACACAAGGATGTGATCCTCAGCTCTCTGCAAGAAGTGCTAGCTTTGGGGAAATAAATAAAACAGTCTTACCTTTCCAAGAGGCACATTGACATCAAGGCCAAAGAATAAAGGCAAGAGAGAAGAACAAGAATAGAAATAGAAACTGCAGAAGAAAAAGAAGATGGTGTAAAAACTAAAGGTAATGGCATTGTAAGCATCAGAATTATTTTTGCACTCAGCAAACAATTAGAGTAACTATGCATTCCAAAAACACTGTATTTCCCTAGTTACTTCTGTAAGTACCACACCACCTCCCAGGCTTAAAAAACAGATCCCACTAATTCTGGTGATGGATTACAACTGGCACAATATTGAAAGCCTGAGGTGTAACTGTTACTATGAACCCCCATGGGTTAAGTCACAAAGCTGGATATCAAAAATAGCATGGGGAGTATTTTTAAGTGCATTAAAAAACAGTGGCTGCAAGCCATGCTGGAAGTGGCCTGGGAATATATCTATGTACATATGCACACACAGAATATTTATCAAAGATTAAATTAATTAACAATTTAACACATTTAATAATGTAATGTAGTATTGTAATATTAAAGTCTGTATCGACTGACACAGGCTGAAAAGAAAGGACAGTAGATCACCACCAGTGGGTGCAGCTGATTGAGGGGAACAGAAAGGTCGTGCAGTTCAAGAGCACTGGGTCCCTACTTTCAAACCACAGTGGATCAGCTTGCTTCAGAAGCACAAGAAAACCAACCTTCTCCTCCAGATCCTTAATTTGTCTCTTTTGGATGTCAGTTTTATCTTCCAAATCTCGGATCCTCTGGAAATCAGAAAAGAGGGCATCTACCTTAAATTCTCAGTAAATCTGTTCCACTGAACTAGTAACTTAATGTTCCAAGTGCAAAAAGCCTAGAAATCCATTTCTGTGTCATACTGTGACTCCATCCCCCCACCCTGCCAAACCACAGCTTTACCACATGTTCAACTGCTCCAAATATGATCCTGCACACATGTAACTGGATTCTCAAATGCTGGAAATTAATATCAATGGTGGCTTTGTTTCACATTATCTGGTTTTTTATTAATCCTTTGTTAAATAGATGGAAAGTGTAAGATCACGGTTATACTCTTTGCATGCACAGAAAAGACACAAAGCATGAAACAATTCTAAAAGCTAGATGCCAGGCTCCCTCATGGCCTGGAGCTTGCCTAAATTTGACCTCAGACTGTGTTCCTGTACAGCAAAGCTGAGTAGATACATGTGTGTAGTTCTTTTCTTACCTGATGAGCCTGCTGGAGCAGCTCCATCCTCTCCTGAAGAATCTGGCAATCATATTCTCTGCTCTTCCTCAGCATCTGACGCCTCAGCTTTTCCACTGCTGTCCTCAGCTCTTCCTGCTGTTTTTCAGTGAGTAGTTCCCCAAACTTTATCACCGTTTCTTGCTGCAAAGCATTGTACAAGGTGGCCTCAAGCTCCTGGATCCTCTGGTTGATGCAATACCAAAAGCCAGTTAGAGATGAAACATGGTTTAAAGCACACTGGGAACTGGGGGGTTGGTGGCAGGTTCCCTGCATGAGAGGTGGTCCCTGTGCTCAGTTGTGCAAAAATGTGAAAAACAGAACTCGGAAAATGGTTCCGTGTTCTGAAAAAAGGATATGAACTTTTACTTTTAAAATATTTTAATACTAATTTTCACTGAAATCCCTCTTACTTTTTTCAATGCACTTACAGAGATGGAGTTTGATAGAATTTTCATACCTATTTTAAGTGTAAAATATTTCACCAATTCTAATATTTCAAGCCATTGTGCTAAAAAACTCCAGTTGGACAAGCTGACATTAATGAGCAATATCTGCCTTTAACTGACAGAAGTCTTCCAGACTTCAGATGTTGCCTTTTTATGACACAAAAAGGCAAGATGTTGTGCTGAAGCCATGCAGATTGCATGCTAGTACATCAAAGAATGAGAAAAAAATCAAAACAAAAAAAAACCCCAATGCTAAGAAAAAAGCAAAAACCTCTCTTCCTTATTCAACAAGAGTCTGTGTCCTATTGCAGGGCTGTCCAGTATGGGCTGCACAATTTCCTTTGTACATACCATGTATGCTTGGTCAAGAGCTTGTTTCCTGTAGTCTAATTCTTCCTCCAAATAACCTTTTATTTTGCAAAATTGCTCCTACAATGAAGGATCATTGGACAGAAAAATGAATTAGTTACTCTAAATACTTCAGGAAGTTTTATGAAATCATCTACAGATACCTGATTCAGCAGGATGAGGAGACTGGTTCTTAACTGACTCTCTGCAGAGTTATTAGTAAGGTACTAACTTTACTTAACATAACATTGCTTGCTTTCATTACATAATTCATTCGTTTCTCACTGGTCCTGAATAAAAGGCACTACAACTGCTGATGTTTAGACTGTGAATCTTATGAGACAAAGAGTGCAGGCACTTACATCCCTGAAAATTATTGAGCAATCTTATTAATAAACAGTCATCCTCATGGAAAGAGAGAGAAAGCTTTCAGACTTTCACTATTTCTCTTTCTGTTATTCTGCTGTTGCATGTGAACCAGACCAGGAACAATTTCATGGATTCACCAATAATCAGAGAAAGGCTGCATAGTGCATTTGCCAATAGACTCTCCTAGTTATCTTTTGGCACATCAACTAAGTGTGACACAATCAGTGTCCCCAGAATGTGTAATAAGGAGAGTTTTCTTACCATATCACTTTCCAGTTCCATCATTTTCTGATGCAGAGCAGCTTCAGCTCCCTCAATCTGCTGGATCCACTGGAGGGAAGACAATAAGAGCTGTAACCTGCTGTGTTTTCTAGGCACACGAGCAGTGGCAAGTGGGATATCTACAGCTTCTTGTTAGTCTGTTTTTAGTAACCTATTGCTAGTTCTGGGCTCATCCTGGGGCTGTTCTCCTGTGACAGAGGCAGCCAGGATGTCTGCAGGCAGCACTTGGCAGGGAAGCAGCAGGAGGGTCACCACTGCCGTGTCACTGGAAGATGGACACAATCTTGGATGGGCAGGGAGCCCATTTCACCCCATGGATAAAGGCCCACAATGAGGCTGTAGCTTCTCAAAAATAGCTTAGCTGGCCAGATGGCAATTCTGCTTGCAGAGGAGGAATTGTTCACTAGAGTCCTTCGAAGCTCTCACGTTGACAAAACTGTTTTGCACTTGAACCTCAGAAAGCAATTTTAACCAACTTTTAACCCCACTTTCTTTTTCATTTCCAAAACACGGAACTTAAAAACACATACTGTCAGTGAAATTTTGGGCACAGATCCCTTCAGAAGCTTTAGAAACCTCAGGCCTAGAAATCTCAAACTATATCTACTTATGGCTTAAATGTCTGATGGTTTTTCATTCAGTTTTCAATTTCAAGTTCCATTTGATATTCTTTTTGTATTTGCAGTTGTCTGCACAGCTTGAGCCAGATGAGTTTGATATTTTTGCTGGTTTAGAAGGTGTTTGGGACTCTGCTGGCACAATTTATTTGGGGAATCACTTTCAATGCTAGAAAGTTCAACAATATTGACAACAACAGGGCATAAAATGTGTCAGATGAGGCTTTAGATAACACCTGAGAAAAGCAAGCACACAATTTACCTTTTCTGCCAAGGACAATACGGTGGAAGCCTGAATTATGGCCACTTGTTCTTCATTTCTTAAATTCTGTGACAAGAAAGTGAGGAAAGGAGAAAATTGGCAGCAGTTTCCTGCATGAATAAAGACAATCCAGCCTACTGACGAGGTGTACAGTTTTCAGAGGATCCCTGTAGTACTGAATATCCTATTCCCATTGAAACATTCAGAGTCCACTGCTTCTGCCTTTCTGTATGATATGGACTAACCGTATGCCTTCATTAAATTGCATCTTATGAGAAATGTAAACTAAAATTAGACTCATTTGTTTGTCTTCATGCTAGTTTTACAAAGGTGAGTTTCCATTATTAAAGCTTTTGTAAAAATAATGCTGATTTACACCAGCACATGAATAGACAATGATGATGCTTTGGTTTTTTTTCCTTGTACACTCTCTTAAGACATATCTAATGTTGGCCAGAGATACAGGATGATCTCTTTTATGTGGGCAGCAATGCCCTCTTAGAAAGCCACAGGGAATTTGATAATTACTGCCTATTTATGAAACTGTTTGGAGGAATCTTAGTCCTGAGGAAGAGTGGTTGACTCAGGCTGCCAAACTAATTCATGTGCTTTCCTGAGTGAATGGAGCACAGTCAGGCCCAATTCCAAATATCAGTGGCCTTTGGACATTCTTCCCAGTCTGCTAAACCAGACGTAAAATATGCACAATTTAAAAAGCATCTTAGAAAACAGCCATAATTATAGATATCACTTACTGTACAAAATGCAGCTTGTAAAGGGAAAATATCTCCCATTTCAACTTACCCCATTATCACCTAAGATGTCTAACTGCTTTATGAGGTCTGGGATGCTGACATCCTGCAACGAGAGAATAAGGTAAAGGCATGGCATGCACCTTTCATCCTGGCTGCAATATCCATCCCTCCTGTGAACTATGTGGAAATCAGCCATTTTGTTTTATCCTGTGGAAATGCGTCAGACATTGATTTCAGTTGCCTTTGAACCAGATTTTATCGTTATAGTGAGAATTTTGAGTCTAATTGAACTGTGTCAGTCATCACACTCTTACATTACACTGAGTTTAAATGCCTGAAATTCAGTGGAATTATTAGTAAGGGGTTATATGGGCAGCACCCACCACCCCTGCAGGGAGAAGCACTGCTTTATAAAACTGACCTACCTTAACCCCTTCCTTCATGCAGTAGATCTGTAGAGCACTCACACCATCTGAGAATGGGTGAATCTGGAGATTAAATGGTGGGGACCGTCTCTCTCTTTCCTGCAGACAAATTGGCAAACGTGCCAGAAGAAGATATTAAAATAGATACACACAGAAAATGCCACAGCTGCTGTTTACATCATGTTTCACAAAGCCAAGCTCTTCATTTTATAAGTCGAAGGAAGAAACATTTAGACCTAGTCTGAAAAAGTGTGCCAAGAGGGACAGGATCCTAAAGCCAAGCTAATTGTTTTACAGGAGATTATTTGCTGAATTATGTCAATTTGCAAATTGTCTGTGGAAAGGCTGTCACCTAGCTCAAGTGATTTGATTTCTGAAGTTTTGAAGAACTATGTGTTGTTGTAAATACTCCCTTTAGAAACAGATGTTTGACTTTACACCATTAGGACACTCAGATTACACATTTGCTATCCCAGTACCTTGTACTTTCTAATATCTGTGGAAAACAATATGGTCAAAAAAGTTGATCAACTTAGGTATTTTTACATCTTTGTTGCTTAAAATTTACAAATATTTGTCCAGTTTTAAAGGATCAAAGACAAAAAAAAAATGATGTTATTTCTTATTCCTTTCAGGTATTCAGGCAAGCACAGAAGTGAAGACAAAACTTCACTTTCAAAATTCACTAAAATTCACATTTTTAGTTTATGAACATGTAATTCACTTGATCAATCCAGCTCCCTGTTACATGGAAATACAGCTGTCAGGTAGAACTGTGGGTCACTTCTATAAATAAGGGGAAAATCTCACACAGCACTGATTTACGAGACCCAGGAAGGGCTCTGTGTGGCAAATGTATTTGGCCTTGGGCAGCAACTGAAATGAACAACTGAAAAATAAGCCAGCTTATAGTGGATATTAGGGCAGGTGAAGTTTTGGTTGGCTGGCATGACAGGAGTCTCTAACTAGGGGCAGTCTGTGAAGAGGGAGCTTGAGGTCTGGCCCATCCATACTTCAGCTCACAATTAACAGTGCTGGGCCTGATTCATTATTGCTTTAATTGCCACATCACTTGTTTAAACCCTTGCTTAAAGTGGGTGTCCAGCGCAAGTGCACTCTGATTTTCTACCAGCTCTCCTGTAAGGAGCCCATCCATCACCTCCAGCTCAAGGTTGCGGAACTCCAGCAGCTCGTTCTGGTCTCGGGCATCCTGCAGCTCCTGTTGCAGACGGTTGTTTTCTGCTTCCAGTTTCTCTATCTAACAGAAATATGTAAAATCAGGATCTGTGTGACTGCTACAAGAAACATTAAACATTTGGTGAGTAGTAGCTGAGGTAGCACAGGCTGTGCAAAACCAAAACCCTAGAGATGGTTCACAGGATCCAGATAACCCTCCAGAGTGAACATGCAAAACTTGGGAACATACCTTGTCTAAAAGCTCTTGGTTCCTCTTAATGAAAAGCTGCTTGTCTTCCACCCAGTGTGAGTCCTGTTGGATGAAGCAGTACTGTTACACAATAATCAAATTCCACGAGGCTGGGCACATTTATTGACAACTGGAGCCACAATATCCAGGCTTTAAAATCCTAAAGGAACAAACTGTCACTTACAGATCAACATATTAGTCTACCAAGCTGTAGCAAGAGTTCTGACCTTGCCAGACCTGCCTGTTTACTGACCAGCAACACTGCATCTCATGGAACTTCATACTGAAACTGTGACAAGTATTTTGTAAGCAGAGCGGGTAAGATACAAAATAGGAAAAAAAATACACAATAATTACTTACCTGTCCTTTCTGTGCCAAAGTTTTCTCCAGATCTTCTATTTTGGCTCTATACCTCTGGACTTCAGCTTGGAGCTGCTCCTGAGCCTGTTGAAGTCAGGCACAGCATTAAACAGTAACAAAACCAGCACTGTGACTGATAGTAAAAGGAAACCAAAACCAGCAGGGCCTGGGTTTATGCTGTCAGTTCCACTGAGTGAGAAACCATTAGAAAGTTTTGGACCCAGTGATGTTTTGTGCCACCCCTCAGACTGGCACACAGATGACACAAGGGAACAGTGGTGGATCAACCCCAGCTCCCCACCCAAGCCTGTTATTACCATGGATTGGCATCAGAGCAGCAAAACACAAGTTCAGGTACTTGGGGTGCTCTGCTCAAAGACCCTAGTAAAGGGCAGTCCCTGAATTTAAAAATAAAGGTGCTTAGTAGATGACAGTGGCAAAAGGTAGTGGGAAGAGGCAGTTACAACTGCTGGGGGGGTCTTCAAGAGCTGACTCAACAAACTAGTATGATCTCACAGCTGACTACTTTGAGCAGGAGTTTGGGCTGGAGACTGCCTAAGATTCCTTCCAGCCTGAATGATTCTATAATTTTATTAAAGGCACAACATTTTTAGCGTTGGAAGGTTTACTGTAGCCTGCATCACCTGAAAATTTGAATTCAATTTGCATTTCTCTGTTAGAAACATTGAGATGTTCCTAAAGCAGGTGCAATGTGCGCTTTTGTGAAAACCCACAAGTCTTCATTAACCTTTAAAATGCAACCCTATCATATGCAGGCAAAAGATGAGAAAACCTTGTGATTCTGTGCCAGGCTGCAGAGTTGCCTGCTTTGGCAGACCTGCCTAACTGCAGAGTTTTCAGGTTCAGGTGGAGGACAGCCTCTTGTGAACTGAGTGATTAAGTCACTCTTTAAAAATGTCCTCAGCACACGAGTGAAGAGACCTCTCAGTGTCAGGGACGTTGTATGTACTCCATTCCCCTCTACGTCCCTTCCAGGGGTTTGTACGTCCTGAGAGCAATGAAATGCTGGTACCCCCAAACAAATACTGACCTTGGCTTCTCTTTCAGCATCTATGACCCCTCCTGTCTGCTCCTGCAGCAGTGCATACGCTCTCTGCAGGGCCTGGTACTCCTTTGTCAGCTGCCGAAACCGCAGCTCTGACTCTTCCGCTGCTAAACCCTGAAGAATAGGAAGGGACATGTCTAAACACTGGGACAGCAAAGCACTGCCAGAGCAAAGAATGCAAGTGTGATTTGTTAAGCACAGTAGTTAGTTTACAAGTCTTGATTCAAATAGCTTTTTGAATCACAATGAACTTGCTGTGATACGAAATAATAAGAATGGGGAGCTTATATAGCATTTATATGTCTTTAAGCTGAAAGAAATGTGATAGGTTTGTTTCCTTGAAGGGGGATAGGAAAAAAAACAACCTCAAATTGCAATGTAGTCATAGCTGTAGACTCTATGGACTAGATTGTGGAAGAAACTCTCAGCATTTCAGTATATAAGTAACCAAAATAAAGGTCAAACTTAATGAAATACTTATCACTCAATATATACTATAAAAACCTAAGTGTTCTTTAGAGCCCGACCATTTTTCTTGGAAGTCATAGTATGAAAACCTTTATTTGCTATGGAAAGAGTCAGATCTTACCTCATCCAGATCATCATCTGGGGTTGCTGGTGTTCTGTCTGTTCTATAGGAGGCCACAGAGGATGTTTCAGAGTCCATGGAATCATCATCATACCCAAAAAATGTATCCACCACATGTCTCTATAGAAGGAAAAACATGATTTCTGAACCTTCTTGGAAACTCGTAGCTTGAGTTTTGGAGGGGGGCAGGGGAGAGTTGTTGTTACTTAAAAGACAAGGTATGAAAAACGAGCAATGGGCTTCCCCTGCAATTACCAAATCCAAACAAACTCAAACCACACTGAAGATTAGATCCTGTGCTGGTGGAGAATAAGTTTGCTGATTAACTTTTCTGCACCGAGGATCTGTCTGAGAATTGTTTTGTTAACCACAAAGCTCTTCAGAAGACATCTATCAACACGCAGACTGGTGCACAAAGGTAATAGCACAGAGAGCTGGAAATGTGTGCAGAATGTCTCCTCTCATGGACACTGCTGATACTTTTAATGTCTCAGTGCTTCTCTCACTGATATTGCTGTGGGACTAAGTGAGTGAAAGCTGTGCTCATACAAAACTAGCACGAAGGAACTTTTATCACATCTTTCCAGCACTGTAGTAACCAGCACGTGTTGCAAGAGATTGCTCACACTGCACAGTTTGGTTGTGTGCCTGACACTTCACTATCGCCAATCTCAGCAGCTGAATTAAATCAAATGAAAATGGTCAGATGTGTCCTGTGAAGGCACAGATGTTTGACCCTGCAGGCTTGGTTTCAGGGTACAGATTTGACCATTTAAATATTTGGCTTATGAATAATTCTGCAGACAAACTGATCGATGAGCAATTAAGATGAACTTCTGCTTTGTAACATTTTTCACTTTTGCTGACAGGTTAAAACCTTCTAAACCTGGAATTTGAATCACACAAAAAACATGTACCAAAGATGCCAATTACCTTTTGCATGTATTATAATTTTTGTTCAGTGTGTTGTCAAGGGAAGATAATTGCCATATTCTCTGATGTTATGCTCTCTGGCTTAGAAATAAAATTTACTGATGAAATTTACTTTTCTCCCAGTTGTGTCTACTGTGTATTGCTTCACAACCCATACAGAAACAATGTGATGACACCTCTAGGATTTACTGGTCTGAAATTCCCCATGTGTTGCATTACTTTCACAGAACATGCTGATGCACTAAGGGATGTCCTTGGAGGACCAAGAGCAAGCAATCAACCAGTATTTCTGCTTTTTGGAGGTGGGACATGAGTGTTGCAAAGTCATTCTTCACATCTAGCTGATAAAGGAGCTATTTGAACCACTACTGACTACTTAGCTCTAAAATTGTTGTAAATTATTCCACTTTTGGATTTAACCCAATTCAGGCTGATACAAAGGCCTGTGGAACCAAGCAGGAGAGAACGACACTCAATTTCTCAGGCAGGAACTTCTACTTGAAGAGTAGAGATGCACAAGGATTTTGCTTTAGCCCATATGTGCTGTGAAAAATAGACCACAGAAAACAGTGGGAAGGTCTCTTGAAATGTAAATAACTCTCAGACTAACAGACCTTGAGACCAATATTTATAGAAACCAGATGGAAGGACGAATATTGCTATTTCAAGGGGAGGGGGGAAGCCCCATTTTGCTGAAAGTAAAATAGCTGCACACCCTTAAACAAATTTCAGAGTGGATTTAAAAAGCTCTCCCAAAGTAACTAAGGTGTTTATAAACTTGATCATTAAAGCAGATTGTTATAATCCACAAAGCTCTCTGTAATCTGATTGCTAAAGTGTGTTTTCCTACAGAGCCTACTAGCATTTTGTAAACTGAAAACAATTTTTCTTTTTACCTTAATTGGCTTTGAGCTCCTTTTATGCTTCCTGCGACGAATGAGTTTCTCCCTGTCCTGGAAAATAAGATTAAAAAATTACTCTCTCTTCTCTTCTTTGCAGCTGTAGAAGGCCAAACCTACAGAGGAAATAAATCATAGAACTTCCAGTGACTCTCTGCATACATTCAAACAGGAGTCTGATTCCAGGTGGAAGGGGGGATTCATATCCAAATCTGAATGTGTGTCAGCTGAAAATCACCTGAAGAAAGCCCCTGTGCAGTTGCTTTGAGCAGCTGTCAAACAACAGCCACTGAGGGATTGCCCTCCAAAATCCCTGGGAGACCTCGTGCACGGGACTGGTTTGGACCTTGCATGAGGGGCTGTCTGCCTTCCCTGCCAAGGAGATGCTGCCTCTATCTCAGTCATTAAATGATGGGAGTGTTGATCTCACCACTCCTGGCAGTGATGTCTCAGAAGAGACAACAGCCTGTTTTGGAGTCTCTCCTTCTCCTCAACATCACAATGCAAAGTCAGCTGACAAACAAATTGTCAGCATTAAATGACAGAACACGCCTTGTGAACACGTAGGTACCTTCCCAAGCTCCACAGTTCTTAGTCTGCATTCCTTTCTGGAGCTCAATTCACACACAGTGTTATGCTTTGAGTTGTAGAGGCTGATGCTGCACTAGAAATTCAGTTAAACTGCACACAAGCACACCTACACCTAAACACCTGCAGATGTTAAAAGTAGGCAAGGTATTAACTCTCAGACCTCTGGTTAGAAGAAGAAATACCACCAGTGGTGGACAGTACACAGCAATCATTCCTAATTTCCCGGTGCTCTGGACATACCCTTGTTAACTCATCGATTATGTTCTGCTGTTCTATGACCTGAAGCTTTAAGAATTCAGTTTCTTGTTCCTCATTGGCCTGATCCAGGTCATTGAGAGATCTTAACTTCTTTAGAGGGGGATGTGATGTTATTTTTTCTCTCTGTGGTAAGAAGAAACAGATAAAATAAGATCCAACACCTAAAAGACCACCTTTTACTTAAAAATTAGACATTATCTCTCATTTGAGCTGTAGAGCCCTTTGAATATGCTTCTGCTAAACCATTTTTATTAATACCCATCAGTGCCTTTTAACAATAAAGCAGCACAACAAGGCTGAGTTCTTCAACCAGAACAACAAAGCTTTATCTATTTAGTTATGGTGTGTCAATACAGCTTCTACAGCAGCCCTTAAAGGTCACATACTGTAGTTCTTCCCTGGCCACGCATCAAGATGCCCCCAGATGTGGCAAATAGAGTTGAACCTGTCCAGTGGGAATGCAAATAGTATCCACTCCCATGACCCCATGTGCTTACTGATACTCAGTGTATGACCATACACAGTGAGGAAATGGACAGGCTTTACTCATGTGAAGGACATGCATCCAGTCAGACCAGGAGGGAAGGCAAAAAGTGGTGGTAACAGATCTATTTGAACTACAAGTCCATATCCTGCCTGCTCCTGAGCATATGTGGGAAAAGAGATGGTTACAGCCTGTGGGAATTACTGCAGCCACCCACAGCTCACTAAGGTTCATGATTTGGGCATCCATAGCATGAAGAGCAGATGTCAGGGAGCTGAGTTAGAACATATATGCTGTGTGTGCAGATATGCACCAGCAGTGCTGCCCACTGATGCCTAATGCATGCAGATTCCCCAGTCCCTTCTCTGCTCTGAGAGAGCCCAGGGGACTCTGATCTGCTCTACCACTGCTGTGGAAGAGTAACACTGACCTGTGACACCTGCAATAAGTTTATCTGTCTTCTGGGCATGGGTGAATTGCAGTCTTAAAGTGGATTAACCTCGTAACACTTAAGTCTTTTTTCTATGAGACAAGAAAGTGAATCTGATCGTCTCAGCCTAATCAGCAGGAAAGCTGTTCCCACTGCAGGGCACTCAGCCTGCTCAGGACAGTGGCTGCTGCAAGCCAGGGACAAGGCCCACAGACACACTTAGCAGGGGAACCTTACATCCATCTCCCAGAACATCCATCTCCCTGTTTATTAATGCTAAAGCAACATCAGTGCACGTGTAGGGGTACTGGGCCTGGATGCTGACTGACACTCAGGGCAATCCCTCTTGAAGGATATGCAGACATAAATGCTTTGAGCCCACTTCATATAGCCCCTACATGTGAAATTTATAGCCCTAGCCCAATTTAAACACCACCATTCTCCCTTTCCCATATCCATCTATCATGTATATGTTTTATGGAAAGAAGTATGTGTTCAGTGCCGCACCAGAACTTAAGTTTGCATCATCAGCTCTAACAAGAATATATATATGCAAGATGAACATTATGCTGGTTGAAAACATCACTCATAACAGCTTCCTTTTTGAGTTCCAGATACAAAATAGAACAGTAGGACATGCCTCAATAACGCAACTTTTTTTTCCTCTTTTTTTTAAGCAATTGAAACTTAATATTCTAAATTTGGGGACAGAATTAAAGACTGTGATTATGCATTCACCTAAATACATTGCCCATCTATGCATAATACACAGTTATACTATGTAAGTCTATAATAATACAGACCTAACCATGGCTGTATATTAGCAATAGTATTACACTCTAATACAACAGATACTCTCTGTGTATATATACATGCATACACTATGAAGATCTGGCCACCAAAACAGACATAGATCATCCATTTTGCTCTTCAGTACCAACCATTTCTATATTTTCTTTAGTGACTGCTTTGAGTTTATCTTCCATGCGCTGCAAAGACTGCATAAGTTCATCATTTCTCTTCGTGAGGCACTTGTTCTTTTCCAGAAGAGGTTTACATTGTTTCTCAGCTTCTCGGACACGTTTCAACTGGATTGATAATAGTAATAAATAATTGTCATGGGAGACATGAACATACTTGTAATTTGCAATCTTGATAAGACACTGTTTTGCAATTTTGACCTCAAGAACATTGAGGAGATCCAAGCCAGCTAAACTGACATGAAAGGACTGCATTAAGAATTATAGCTAAGGAATAAAAAAAACCAACAAGAGTTGAACTTATCACACTCATCCTTAATAACAGAAGTAGGAATGTGAACAGGTCAAAAAGCCAGGGTCCTGATTCAACACACAGGTATCACCAGAGGAGAAAATCAGACAAAGAGATCGATTCTCTGTTGTCCATACTCCCTAGACCCAGTACTTTAATATTCTCAGCCTAGTCAAATACTGGATAGACAGCATAGACCCTATTTCATTTACAAGTCTCACCACACACTGCTGTACGCTCAAAAGTCAAGGAGGAAACAGAAGCATCCAGGTAGAATCCTATAAAGCCTCAGTGCCTCAACTTCCATTGTGATTTTGTACTCACATAACTTCAGTGAAATTACTATTTAATACTAGGATAAAAAATCCTTCTCAGCCTCCCCTCTCTGCCTTTTCTTATGGCTCTCTCCCTCCTCTCTCTGCCAGAGCAAAGCTCACACACCAGTTCATTTCGTTCATCAACGAGCAACGTGTTCCTGTCCTCCAGCTTGCGGATGGTGGCGTTCAGCTCCGCTATCCTCTTCTGGTTCCTGCGCAAGTCCTGCGGGTAACAAGGGCGCAGTTACTGATCCTCTTCAACATTCATGCTTGGGAAGAGAATCCTCAAAAAACACACACACCAGCCAACCTCAGCTGCCATCATCAAGTTATCTTTAGGGACTTTTACAATACCGAACATGCCGGCAAAAATATATAATTTTTGGAAGGAAGTGTCTAGTTCAGGGAATACTTTATTTGAAAATGTTAAGCTGTTTGAAAAAATAAAGAAAACAACCAGATGGTAATTTTCTAGGATGGGGAGAAAAAAACTAAAATATTCCAATTTTTATTGCCTTTTCCTACAGATTGCTTCTATTTGCTGAGCCACTACATCAGGTGAAAAGGTAAGGACAACCCTTTCAGTATCAATTGCATTTACTTTCTTATTCCTCATTTGTGTATGTGAAAATATGCTTTCACATATGCTTTAGTTGTGTAAACACCTTCAGTTTAGTCACACAATGGGTGAGTTTATATATACATTCGTTGTGTAAACATCTTTGGGTTAGTCACACAATGGGTGAGTTGCATGTTTTGTGAATGACACCTGTGGGAAGAGTAAGACAGACAAAAAGGGGGATCTCCTAAGAGTCTCAAGGATTCCCCACCCCCTGCCCCTCCTAGCCCATCCTCCTAATTTTATCGTTTTTTGAGGATGCATGTTATCAAGGTAGTTATGGCCATCAAATGATTCTATCAAAGGGGCACTAATTACTTAAGATGTTTTATATTTGTAAATAGAACAATCGAGGAAACAAAGTTTTGCCCAACTAGTATTCTCTCTGAACACTCTACAGACATAATTTTTCTGTAGTGAATAAGACAGAATGTTTTCCAGGGCCTGAGAACCTATTTCAGCAAGCAAAACACATCCATGCTTCTGTTTTTCAGGGACCAGTAAAACCTGCATACAGGGCTGCTGCAGTGCTCTGAGCCATCTCCAGCCCTTCCTGGGATCTCTCTCTTGGGACTGCTCATGTTACACTCTGCCTCCTTCACCAAGAAGAGCTGCTCATCCAGAGCTTCCTTCTGCAGCTGCAGCTTCTGCACATAGCCTGTCTGTGTCTCCAGTTCTTTCTCCAAGGAAAATATGATCCTGTCTTTAGCCTTGATCTCGTCCATCTGAATGAGAGAAACACCAGAACAATATTACTGTGTGAAGGCGACAGCATCTCAGCCTTCTCCAATCTTGTAGTATATGATTTACTTAAGAGCACTGTTCACCCCTCAAATCTGCTCTACCAAACTGCACCAGTTTCTGCAAATCACTCTGGCAAAATAAAAGTACTATTACCTAGGAATGATATGAATCATTGCCTGAAAACAAAAATTATATCTATGTTAAATTTTGCCTGAAGCTGCCAAAGATCCTTTCTAGTCTTGCAGCTTTCTAGGCTTGCCAAAATCCTCCCCATAGCATTTTTCAAAGAGTAGGGCTAGGTGATGATCTCCATTAACTAGATGTCACTCTGATACAACCTCCTCCACTCTGACAGCAATACAGTGCCATTGGAAACCATTGTGTAAGTCTGAGAAAAGTAATTCTGGACACGTTCAAGGTTCTTATGCAAGTAAATAGCCTTTAAAAAGCCTTTCATCAGTTGCTAAAGACAAAACCATATAATAGCAGAACCTGAGTTGATTTTACTAAATGGCTTTGTTTCATCCTGAAACTCACTACAGTTCTTTTTTATACTAAAAACCTGAAAACAGCTCCTCAATTTCAGATGAGAAAAAAAGAAGAGTAGTTTGTCCTCAAGGTGAGGCGGAACGAGCAAGTGCCAGCGCCGTTTGGAGAGTCTCAGTGGGAGCACTAAACTGGGGAGTACCATTCCTAGACCATGGCACAGGGAAACAAGGCAACCTGCACCATTGCTGGTGTGGGCCTCTTTTCGTTCATTTTCCCCAGTAATTACTGAAGGCTATGCCAAGACCAAATCAAAAGGTGTCTCCCCTCCTGCCATGGTTTAACATGTTCAGGGCACCATAACATGGGCTGGAGAAACCAACAAACTGCAAGTGCAGATGCAAATGCTCTTTATCTGACCCTTTTCACCACACAGGTATTAACATCTCAGGAAGCCAGATCCTTATGGACTAGGCCAACCCCTCTCCTGCTTTAAGTTGTTAGCTGCCATCACAGTGCTCTAGCTGACTCACCATGATCTCTCTCTTCCTGAGAAATGACAGTGAGAAGTTTGTAACACTTTTTCAAAGTGAGGTGCATTGCAGAGTTTTGTTATGCAGAAAAAGCTAAGAGACATAGAAGGCAAACTCAGTGCAGCATAAGAGAACACATGAACTGTTTTGATTACTGACCAGGCGTCGGATATCCCTTTCACTCTCCCATTTGATCTTGGAAATGGCTTCCTGGTGGGACTGGTGCTCACTCCGAAGATCCCCCGCCTTGATCTTATCGGCCTGGATCATGTTGTTAAGGGCCTCATCTACCTGCTTTTTGGCAGACTTCAGTTCAGTAATTTCCTGCAGAAGCTTAAGGCGCTCAGAGTCGAACTGTTTTCTGGCCTCCTCGCGAGCCTCGATGGTCAGCGCTGTCCGTACTTTGTCGCTGCTCCCGTCCCGCAGCGCGCACAGAGCCGACTTGAGCCGCTGAATCTCGCTGTCCCGGACCTTCACCATCCGCGTCATCTCCTGCTCGTGCTGCTTGATGAGGTTCTCCCTCACAGCCTGCAGCTCCTTCATTTTCTCCTCATGGAGTTTGGCTTTCAGCTCCGTGATCTGCACGGTCTGTTTGCGCTGCTCCACCTCGCGGATGCGCTTTGTTTCTTGGGTCTTCTCTCTCTCGAGTTTAGCAACCTGCATGGAGATACAATGAAAGTCACCTGCTGCCAATGTGACGTCGTCAAAACAAGCCCACCCAGATACATCCATGCCAACATCCTGCTGCAGACCCCAGATAATCCTCCACCCTCCTACAAAAAAATATGGGCCAGCTCCTGAGGCATTCACATGGGTTACACTGCCTTTACTCAAACAAAACAACTCTGTCTTCTCCAGGTGTCCTGCCTCCCACAGTGACACTACACATACTTTCAGTATTTCCTTAGGAAATAAGACTCCGTGTATGTATGTGCATTTGTCTAAAACCCTTTCTAACCCAGCAGTCAACATCAGTCAAATTCACCAGAAAACTGGAGGGCTCAGGAATAGCAAGGTTCCTACAACTTCCATGAATGTACCGCTCCATTTCAGGGCCAGAGGCTTCTTAAACTTGTAGCTCAGTAAAAAGGAGTCTTTTCCAAGGGAGCCACAAGACATCCACAGCAAGTGCTGTAAGTTGGGAAAGAATCAGACCACTGTTCTTGGAAAGAGCTGTGTGGCATCTGTTGAATTCTGTGATACCACTTTTTCCATGTGTTTCTCTTCCTCAGCACAGACATTGCTATTTAAAACCAAATCCTCACTTACCTTAGATTTCTCCTGATGCAGCTCAATTTGAATGTCTGTTAGCTTGGTCCTGAGTTCCTCATTGGCAGCCTGTAGGGCAACAATCAGTGCCTCAGGCTTTTCGCCCTTGCTACGTCCTTTTTTTGACATGGTTTCTTATCTGCGAGAGTCCACGTGTTTATTTCAAATACAGACTGCCATCTTTTTCTGGTCCTTTCAGAGCCAGTTAGTTCAGCAACCACTGCGTGACATTCCTTAAGGTCCTGGACTCAGCTGCTTTGGAAGCCCTGCAAAAAGTAAGACATACTATTTTTTGTCAGTGGACACTGCAGCAGGACAGCTCACATGGTTACAGATCACAATAGAAAGCTCCCATCTCCAAACACTGCAATCTTTGTCTGAAAACCTGCAAGGGACACCCCAGCACAATCATGCTTCTGTCCACCAGCCTGGCCCACTCGTGGGGATTGCATGTACGTCCTTTTTCAGTGCTCAGAAAGGGGCACTGTGCACTGAAGACAGGAGTTCTTTTACCATAAGGATTAGTGCTGTTGAAGGCACAGGACTAGAATGGACAGGTTATTTAATCCAATCCTTGTAGTCTGAGGCAACCACAAAGCAGACACTTCACTCTCAAGGATCTACCAACCATATCATTCTCTTCCCCTTCCCAACCCTTGATCCCCTGAAAGATCTTGTGCCAAACTCACTTTTCACAGCACTCCTACCATCTGCCACAGCAGGAAAGGGCAAGTGCTGGTCCTCATCAGCATTCTGGGTCTCTATAGAAGCAGAGAACTAATGATGTGCAAAAGCCTGTTCAGCCTGAAAATTGACCCCTTCACCACTTCCAAGGGATTGTAAAAAAAATTCTACCAATGGTTTCTGTCAACTGAATTTTATTGGGAAAATTCTGTCCTAAGCCAAGGTGATGCAATAAGCTTAAATCTAAGCACATCAGCATGATATACAGACCAGGAAGCCAAGGGGGTTTTCCATATCACTGAGAACACGAGTGTCCTTTGTCTCATATACCTGTTGTTCAGGGTTTTTTGGTGGGGGGGAGGTGGTGGTGGTTTTTTTGCATTTGTTTTGGATATTGGCACTGACTGACAGCCTCAGATAAAGAGATATTCTGTCTACACACAAAATAAACATGGGTTTAATAAGCTGCCTAGAAATTTACGTCCACATGTCTCAGCAATGAATTAGATGGTGCCATGTTCACATGGTCATTCTGACTTTCCTACCACATCCATGAAACATGCAGAAATGACACATCCTTACTGATCCTGCTATCCTGAAAACACTGTCCTCCATCACCCAGGGCTTCCTATGCTGCTCCCAGTTACACCACCTCTGAAATCTTGGCATTGCTTTGTATACAGCTAAACATTGGTCTTTTATGAACTGTTTTCGTCCCAGAATAAGCCACTTTGGATGCTCAGGCCTGAAAGAATAAAGAGATAAATAGAGAGATGCCCATCCTACGGCTGGAATGCTGGGGTGCCTCTGGACAGCACAGAGTGAATGGCAGCAAAAAAGCCCATGTCAAATGGTAGCACACTTGAGCTGGAGAAAGAACACATTAAAGGGAAAATCCATAATGAGGGTCAAAAAACATATTCTCAGTCTTCTACTAAAGGGTAATTTAATCCTTAACAGCTAATCAAACAGGCATTTTTATTTTTTCCTCTGCAGACTTAAACCAGAGGTTTAGTATTTAGTATGCACAGCCATTCTAGAGGCAGCAGTGATATGCTGAGAGCACAGAAATTTGTGGGACCCCAGGACTGCTGAGCTACCCATCTTGAGCTGAGCAGACAAGGCTTCAAGGAAAGTAGCAAAGGGCAAATAGAGAAAGCAGAATATTTTCTACTCCTGTGAAAGGAAAAATGGGACACAAAGCATGAAATTACTCTCATTATCCTGTGACAAAACACCAGCAACTCGATGGTTTAGAAACTGAAAGTGGTTTTTCTTTTGCTTATGAGCCCCCTTCCTTCCTCACTGCAAGCCTACACGGTTCATTGCTTTCACTAGCACTGTCAGGTTTAATATTATCCTGCAGGCTCCTCCAGCAAAAGCCTGCTCTCACAGCCCTGCTGCCAACAGTAACAACTCCAGGAGTTCTGCTATTTTGTGTGCAGTTTGCCATTTGATACAATTGATGTTTGGTCAAAACACAAAGATTTGCTCTGAGAAGCAAAAGGCATCACTTAATAACTGAAGCCACCATCCTGATCTTTTGAAATGCAAAATACTAAGAAAACAGGAAGCACCAGAACCATCTGAAAGGGAATGACAAGTGTGGGTATACACTGTCTACCTGGCCTGCAAAGAATGAATGTGATAAAACTGGGCATAATGTCACCAGAAGTGCAGTGCTGTGTGCAACTTTCCTGGTGAATGAAAAGAAAATCTCTATGGCATAAGGATGAAGCAGATGTCAAGGATGGCAGAATGACTGATGAATGTACAACTGCTCTTCAGCAGTCAGTGTAAACAGCGCATCCTAAGGGGCCACAACCTTATTCCTGTTGAAATCACTGCAGACTGCCCTCTGCCTTTTCTGAACTGTGTCTGAGGGAGGAAGAAAATCTTTCAATTAGCCCAAATTAAACAGAGCTTGGAAACAGGAATAAGCCCAAGAGCAGTACTGTCCTCCTCAAATCTCTGATAGCTCCTTAAAATGAAACTGGATGCAGGTAACCCTCTGACTCCTGATGCAACAGCAAGGAGGACCTAAACACCTCTGAAGCTGCTGCACACCTTGGAGGATACTGGATGGTAAATCCTTCAGTTACAACAGATCCACCACCCCACATCATGTAACAGATGAGAGTCTGAGCTGGGTTTAGCAGAGTTGAACAAAGCATTTCAAGTACTAATGGCAATTAATTTCAAGAAGTCCCAGCTCATGGGACTGGCTGCAGGTCTGTTCAGGAATTATCTAGTAATGGAATGACTCCACGGGAAGTATAACAGCCACAGGCCACATTGTCACTTCCCCACCTCAGCTTCCACTGAAAGGAAAACTGCATAGTTTGGAAGAGCCTATTCCTACTGTATCTCTTGATCTGGACATCAGGCTGGAGAACCAGACTTCACAGTAAGCTGTGGGGCACTGCATCCTCTGAGATGCATATTGAGTTAAAATCTAGTTAATTCACTGGAGAATTTGCCACACTTTTAATGAGAAGTAGTAGCACATTGCTATAGGCTGTGGAGTATTTATCAGTAAGAGCTCATAGCTACACTGGAACTTAAACTGCTACAGCAGTACAAAAAGGCACATTTGAGTCTTAAGGTTTGTTAGTTGTTTTGGGGGGTTGACTTCTGTTGGGGCTTTTTTTTAGGATCAATTCAAGCTTAGCTGCATGATATAAGCAGGTAGAAGTTTATTTGTATTCACGCTCCCAGAGGTCTCAAACAAATATTAGCCTCTCAGCATGACAAACACTGAGTGTGCAGATAAGAGTGTGTTGCTTCCCGTGGCAGAACAAGCCATAAAAGCATACATGCCTCAAGGAAAACACTCCATAATCTTTAAGGTTGAATGTAAAGAGATAAGTATAACTGGATCAGCAATTACACTGGAAGCTTCTTCCTATACAATTTCTTTATTCTTTTGTTTTCCTTCCTTCCTACAAATTTCACCCATTGCTATTTCTTTTATTTTGGCTTCCATCCTTTCCTTTTTAAATTCTTTTTCCCATTATTTGCTGTTTGCTCTAGTTCTTTCTTTTCCATGGCATTGCAGGTTACCTTCTTGTTGATACTTGGGTTTAGTAATACCTTAGGAGAGTACAGAGGAAAACAACACCTACACGTGCTCCTCGATAGCAGCATTATCCTTTATCTGAAGTGGCAAAGGAATCTGTTCTGAATGTTGCTCCCAATCATAATCTATGTATAACACAGCTAACCTCTACCTACCTAATCAAGTTCTCTCCCTTTCTCCTATAGTCATTCGTTGTTTTGTTTTCTCCAAACCAATAAACGCATTTATTTACAAAAACAGGCTTTGCATATTACAGAAGTGGAAAAATACCTTTCTCTGCCTTTAAAAGAGACACCTTGGGATGGAAACACCTGGGAAAGAAGAAATGAGCGCTTTACCACCACAGCCTTTACCCTCTTGAATCAGAGTGTTCTGGGCCATGAGGTAGGTGGAGATGCCAAAGCATTACAAAGCCCTGTGCCTCTGCTTCAGGGACGTTGGGGATCACTCAAGTCATTTTCATCAGTAGCTCTCACGCTTTCATTCTCTGCGAAATTGTTGCTGCATGATACTGTCCAGAACAGGAAAATAGTCACAGATGTCTAGCTCCTTGAGTATGAAGTGTGCAGGTCTCTGCAGGGAGACACAAAGCCTCCATCGGGTACACCCAGATCTCAGAAGCAAAGAATATGAAGAACAGTCCAACCCCTCCCCTATCAGTCATGTCTCTATTGATTACAACCCTGAGACACAATTTCAGGCTGAAGGTGAAAAAGCAGTGGAATGAAGTTTGCTTTGAACACTCTTTTTTCTCTCTCAGCATGTATCCTGCTGATGAGGCCTTGGGAATGACTGCTCCATTTCAAAGTTCTTTTTAAGCCAGGCATGCCTCTCAGGGTTAAGCAATTAAGCAATTACTTAAAGACAAGACACAGATGTGCCCTGCCAGCACGTGGAAGGTCAATCTGAACTCTTGGCACAAGAAGAGGTGGCTCTGGGATGGCTGCTGAGAGCTGAACTCTGCTGGCTTTGGCCAAGAGAACCCAAATCCTCCTCAGTCAGGCCCCGACAGTCACAGCCACAGTCAGACCTCGGACTTGCCTCTGCTACTGCAAGTCTGAGCAGGACCTGAATACACTGCAGGCTGCTTCCTCCAAGCTCGCACTAAAATGTCAGCATGACCTTAGGCTGAACAGCCTTCAGCCTCTGAGGTGCTGAAGCCAACCAAGATGGATTAGTAGGGGCAGGAATCAGCTGATAACACGTTTCTCAAGAGGGCTTGTCCCCTGAAGCTGCTGTTGCAGAGAGTTCAAACATATCCTTGCCTGTTCACATCAGGACAAGGTCAGTCATACCCCCTCATCTGAAAGGATCCACAATGAAACAATCCCACAAAAGATATCTGAAAGTTTGGGGAGGGCTGGAGTTTAGCCTTCCCCTCTAAATCTGTAAAAATCACTACCATACTGAATATTAATCTGTCAACTTGGGGTCAGACCATTTCAAAGCAATCTGTTTTTAGGGAAGGACTTTGTCATGAAAGTTGAAGGCTCAAAATTGGCT